CCCCCTTATGTATTATACATGCAGATAATTTCCCCCCTTAATCTCCTCTTCTCAAGAGAGAATAAATTCAGTTCCTCTAATCTTTCCTCATAGCTGAGCTCCTCCATGCCTCTTATCAGTTTGGTTGCCCTTCTCTGTACTTTCTCCAATTCCCCAATGTTCTTTTTGTGAATTGGTGCCCAAAACTGAACTGCATATTCCAGATGAGGTATTACTAATGATTTGTACCGGGGTAATGATATCTCTCTCTCTGGAGTCTATACCTCTTTTAATACAAGAGAGGATTTTTGCTCGCTTTAGAAACCGCAGCTTGGCATTGCTGCCATTATAAAGCTTGTGATCTACCAGAACCCCCAGATCCTTCTCCACCAGTGATTCCCCCAGATCCTTCTCCACCATTGACCCCCCAGTTGTACCCCCCCAGTATATATGATGCATGTATATTCTTAGCCCCCAAGTGCAGAACCTTTATCAACATTAAACCTCATTTGCCACATAGTTACCAATTAAAAAGAGGATTGAGGTCAGCTTGTAAATTGAAGACATTCATTTTGTATGGGCTCAAATCACACCACAAAGGTATTGGAGCATTTGCACGAGTACAAGTATCAGTGCAACCCTAGTTGTCTCATTAGCTAACAGGAAACCTCTGGAGGCAGGATGGGACAGGAAGCCTTCACAGGATTGAGATTGACCTCTGCAGTTACTTTTGCAATAGTTGTTTTCCTATTCCGGGTCACAATCCTACACAATGTTCTTTTATCTCTTTCGGTCAGTTGATCTTGTCGGCTGCTCTTATGGTTATCAGACAATGTTTTTTTTTATACTGTACCTCGCAACACAGCAAAATAAAGCTGCACATGCAGTGAATGAGGAAAGTGAGGCTTCCCACCTGTTCGCTAGGTGTCTCATCACACAGCAGAAGCAAAAGAATGTTACATCACTTCGCTCTTAACGCGAAACATATCGTCACTTCCACACCTGCAAATCATGTAGTGTTTCCATTTTTTTTGTCTAAACCCTGTGTGTATATATATATATATATATATATATATATATATATATATACACACACTATATTGCCAAAAGTATTGGGACACCCCGCCAAATCATTGAATCCAGGTGTTCCAATCACCTCCATGGCCAAAGGTGTATAAGATCAAGCACCTAGGAATGCAGACTACAAACATTTGTGAAAGAATGGGTCGCTCTCAGGAGTTCAGTGAATTCAAGCATTGTACCGTGATAGGTTGCCACCTGTGCAATTAGTCCATCCATTAAATTTCCTTCCTACTAAATATTTCACAGTCAACTGTTAGTGGTATTATAACAAAGTGGAAGCAACTGGGAACAACAGCAACTCAGCCACCAAGTGGTAGACCACGTAAAATGACATAGTGGGGTCAATGCATGCCGAAGCGTGCAGTGCACAGAAGTCACCAACTGTCTGAAGAGTCAATAGCTAAAGACCTCCAAACTTTGTGTAGCCTTCAGATTAGCCCATCAACAGTTGTTTTTCAGGGGTTAGGCTTGACCCTTTAGTTCCAGTGAAGGGAACTCTTAAGGAGTCAGCATACCAAGACATTTTGGACAATTTAATGCTCCTAACTTTGTGGGAAGAGTTTGGGGACGGCCCCTTCCTGTTCCAACATGACTGCGCACCAGTGCACAAAGCAAGGTCCATAAAGACATGGAGGAGCGAGTTTGGGGTGGAGAAACCTGACTGGCCTGCACAGAGTCCTGACCTCAACCCGATAGACCACCTACCATCAACACCTTTGGGTAGAATTAGAGTGGAGACTGCGATCCAGACCTCATCAAACATCAGTGCCTGATCAAAGCCAACACTGCCCACTGAACCTGAGAAAGCCTACCCCAGAGCCAAGGTAGATAACCAGACAGGGAGGTTCATGTCGGATGCAGAATAGTAGTGTATTATGCAGAGCAGGTAATTGCTGCCCGTGGAAGCCAGATATCTCAAAATGTAGTCTCCTTGTTGTGCAGTGTCGCCATCAACTCTTCCAATAACCTAATCTAATTTATTCTGGAAAACCATTGGCCTATCATGGGAGTTTTGTTTGCTTACATAGGTTTGGAATGCATGATCGTGCATCGTTCAGGAAATGGACCATCACGGAGGACTTATATTGTTTCAAATACGTGTTGTAAGTAGCCAATGAGATCTTTGCCAATGTCTACAAGCTGGAGAATTATTCTTTGAACTTCTCTCCAAAAAGTCCATAATAAGGGACATTACCATAAGATATGTACTGGGTTCCTTTAGACATCTCTAGGATTCCTTCAGGAGAAAAAGTACACTTCTAACTATATTGAAATGTCCCAAAACAATATATTGTTCAACTCCATGCATTACAGTGCATTGACATGGTATGGTGAGTTTCGCAAAGTAAAAATGCAGACAAGTTTTACTTTAATGCGAGCGCACACCATCACTCGGTACATGGTGTGAATCAGCCCTAAAAAACAATTACTGTGTTTGTTGGAAAAGCCAAGCTGAGACAGGTTATTTTAAGTTGAAAGCACTCCCACAGTACAAATAGGAAGAGATACCCCAACTGCCGCACACCGCACCTGGCCCGAGTGGTTGAAAGGTAAAAGTAGCCTCAGCTTGATTCATCCAAGCCAAGCCGTGGGGGCATGGCTTGGATGAATCAAGCTGAGGCTGCTTTTGCTAACAACTTGGGCTGGGCAAGGTGTGCAGGAGTCAAGGTATCTATTCCTATTTGTATGGAGCCTTTCCCCAGCCTGCACCCTCATTAATCAGCAACATCCAATTATTCAGACCTTGTTATCCTAAGCAGGGATAACTAAGCATTTATTATGGGTCACCTCCTACAGTCTTCAAATCTCATGTTCAACAAGCTATAGTTACTGCACCATCTGAAATACGTGTAACACATTCTCAACTCTGATGTGGACATTCTCGTCAACTAAACAATAATCTGCAGCACTCTAGTTAATGTTCTCCCAGCTTCACACTGTACCATTAACCTCAATCATTGTTACGTGTGAACCCATCTTACTGTCAGCTCATCTGGAGATCACAGTGTAAGGCTGCAAAACATCTCACACACGACAGCTGTCTGCGGCCTCCCTGTTTAATCTGTCACATGTGGCTTGTACGTGTCTTCCTGTCAGATTTATACATATCTCCTCATTTACGGCATATCATGTGCAAGGAGCCAATGTGCAGACATGTTTTTTTTTTCCTTTCCCGCTGGGAACTGGTCCTGCTCAAGTGTGTGTTTGGGATTTAAGATGACAATTTCAACTCTAATCTCTTTTTAATGCTGTGGGAGCAAATGGATTGAAATTCATATTCCAAGATGAACATGTAATGAATATTTATTGGCTTGAGAAAAATGGCTGGGCCTGCTTTATGAGAATTTCCTGGTCATTTTGAGTGGGTTCCGATCTCATGATCTCATCTACTGCTTCTGGTGTCCTTGTTAATGGAAAGTTAAGGCCTGTGAGCAATGAAGAAACAGAAGGCACAGGGGATGCAAGTGCACCAGACTGTGTTACAGCCATCATTGCCTTCATGAATGGAAGCACAAAGACAACGTCATTTCATTGTGTGCTGCATGCCATCAATCAGGATTGGTCTGAGATAACAGTTTTCATACAAATGCTTTAAAACACAACCTTGAGCTATTTTTCTTACAGTGTTCCCAAGGTTTTAAGAAAAACAATTCAGACAGCAATACTCATTTTCAATCTGAAATCATGTCCTTCTTTTTTGGCCACAAGATGTCAGTTGAGTTGAGTTGAGTTGCTGAGAAAAAAATGTGAGTGCAGGGTGTGACGGCATGGTGACCTGCACTAACAATGCATCAATGGAGGAAGAAGATGACCCAGTGTGTCACATTACTGGCCAGAAAACATCAGAAAAAAGTAACATTAAAAAAGCATTGTATACTTATGATGGGGTTGGGGGGGGGGGGGTGAACAGAGACTGGAGTTAGGGGTAATTTTTGTAGAGCGTGGTGGGCTTAGCTGAGCCCTGGCTCTTTGTATGTGTTGGAAACCCCAACATTGAGATCCACCTGTCATAGATCCAAACTCTGTTCCTGTCTACCTAAGAGTTTTGGACTTTCCTGCCCACTGTTGCTTCCTCCTATTATCTAAGATTTGTGGGTTTTCCTGGCCACCTTTGCTTGTTCCAGTATCTGCCATACCATTCTCCATGATAGAAGATAAATAAAAAACCCAACAGAGAGAGTGTGACCCAATCATAATGACCAGAGTAGGTGTGCAGACACAGAAACTCCAGCCTGCCCAGGAGAATTTGGGTTTTCTTCCCACCCTTGCTTTGCTCCTATTTTTCTAAGAGTTGTGGGTTTTCCTGCCCACCTATGCTTATTCCAACACCTACCACTGCATATCCACAAAGCTGTGTTACAATGTGGTAGCTAGCACTGCAACCTGCTGCAATGTAGTGGTGTTAACTACCCTCAGGGAACAAGGCATTTTGCCTTGTCCTGGGCTGGATCTGCGCAACTGATGTATAGGAGCCCTTGGGCTTGGTTCACACCTACATGTGCTACCAAGCTTAGGCATATTTCTTTTTGGTTTTTGTGCGTTCCCATGTGTCATGTGTAGGGTAGCCCCTTCCATTTTAATAGTTCGCCCTACACACAGAAAATAAGTCCTTGACTCTTTTCCAAAAATGCATCACACCATGTGGTTTGTCACACACGAAAATGTACGAGTTTGCAGATACATGGAAATGCCATTAACGAATTATGGCACTGTCATGCTTCTGCTAAAGGGCAGAATATTTTTCTGCATGTCATAAAAGTGCAATTTTGCACGCATTCCAGACATGCAAAGATCTGAACCTAGCTTTAGAATGACAACGCGGGAAAGGGAAATAAAGCCCTGATTGGCTCAGAGTACTGCCCATCCCACTCTGATAGCAGTTGTGCATGGGATTATTATTATTATTATACAGTATTTATAAAGCGCCAATAGTTCGCTCAGCGCTGTACATTACAATGGGGGACAGAACAATACCAATACAATGCAAAACATGAGGGGATTGAGGGCCCTGCTCTTTCGAGCTTACATCTAGGAGGGAGGGGATGGTGGCACAGGAGGAGATAGCTGTGGGGGATGGAGTGGTAGGAAGAGTGGAGGAGGTCGGCAAGTTAGCAGGGGGTGGGGTAGGCTTCCCTGAAGAGGTGGGTGCGCCTAAAGGAGAGGAGAGTAGGTGATAATCTGATGGGTTGGGGCAGGGAGTTCCAGAGGATGGGTGACACCCTGGAGAAGTCCTGGAGGCGGGCATGGGAGGAGGAGACCAGGGAACTAGAGAGAAGGAGGTCTTGTGAGGAGCGGAGTGTGCGTGTTGGGTGGTACTTGGATATTAGGTCAGTGATGTAGTTTGGGGCAGTATGGTGGACAGCTTTGTACGTCAGTGTTAGGATTTTGAATTTGATCCGTTGCGCAATCGGAAGCCAGTGGAGGGATTGGCAGAGGGGGGTGGCATAAACGGAGCGGTTGGAAAGGTGAATGAGTCTGGCTGCCGTATTCAGGATCGACTGAAGCGGGGATAGCCAGCGGCGAGGCAGGCCAGTGAGGAGGGAGTTGCAGTAGTCGAGTCGTGATATGATGAGGGAGTGGATGAGCTGTTTAGTGGTTTCTGGAGTTAGGAACGCGCGTATTTTGGCGATGTTGCGGAGGTGGAGTCTGCACGAGCTTGTTAAAGATTGGACTTGGGGCTGGAAGGATAGGTTGGAGTCCAGAATGACACCAAGTACTCTGGCCTGCGGGGCGGGTTTGATGGTGGCGTTGTTGGACATGATGGAGAAGTCAATGGGAGGTGGGGTCCGGGCTGGGGGGAAGACAAGAAACTCGGTTTTGGAGAGGTTCAGTTTAAGGAAGTGAAGCGACATCCAGTCTGATATGTCGCTCAGTAGGTGTGTGATTCGGGCGGAGACTGAGGGGGTGAGGTGGGGGGTTGAGAGATAGATTTGTGTGTCGTCGGCATATAGGTGGTAGTTGAAGCCATGAGAGTGTATGAGTTGGCCAAGGGAGGAGGTGTAGATGGAGAAGAGAAGGGGCCCGAGGACGGAGCCTTGAGGGACCCCAACAGAGAGGGGGAGTGAGGGGGAGGTGGTAGCATTATAGGTAACGCTGAAAGAGCGTTGTGACAGGTAGGATGAGAGCCAGGAGAGAGCAGAATCTCTGAGGCCGAGGGAGTGTAGTTTTTTGAGGAGGCCATATTCAGGTACTTATGCTAGTGTATGTAAAATACATTTAATTAATTTTTAATGATTACATAAATGGATTAAACTGCATTTATTTAATACAGTATCTCTCAGTAGTTTGGTTTAATAGTTCAGCTTGCAGTAGAAGAAAGCTGGGTGGTCAAGTTTCTTTTTCTTTCTTTATTTATTTTTGGCTAAACCAGTTTTTAGAAATGAACCCACCTCCTCTACAAAGTCAATCATACTACCGATTCCTTCTTCGTAAATCTTCAAGAAACCGAACAGGTTAACTTTAGAAGTGGATAACAGAGAGTCTGCCAGCAGTCATGATATTTTTCCCCTTGCATAGTTTCATTTACATCCACATTAGCATATGATTGGCTGCATTGTGTAAAGCAGGGGGAGCGGATATGCAATCTCTAGCAAAACAATCCGTAAATTAGCAAGAGGAAACTGACAGGCCAAACCTCCATGGAGAACCTTTGTTAAGCCAGAATGAATGCAGGGAAATAAATGTCTAGTCTACCAATTCTGAATCAATTACCATTGATTTTTTTTCATACTCTACATTTTACCATAATGACCCAACCTATAAAAAGTCAAAAATTTTCACCCTCCTCTTATTGAAGTTATTTTTGTAAGAACTGAATTAACCAAGAGCAATCAAATTCACTAGATAACCACCTTGATGTAGGGCTATGTTTAGGCATCATGCTAGCCTAGGAACCAATCAATAATGGTGTCTGTTTGTAGAAGCCCTGCCCTTTGTGCCATATGATTACTATAATGACTTCTTCCAGAGTGCAGTATTGGAGGCCACGTTGCAGCTGTTTGCATTTGCAGGGCTATCTGTCAGCCCTACAGGCCACCCATCAGCCCTACAGGCCACCCATCAGCCCTACAGGCCAGCCTACATACAGTAGTTACATAGTCCATTAGAAAAATTACTCAAGTCCACCTAGTTCAGCCAATAGAAGAAAAAAAAAATTAAAAAATCTACACATACACAATCCTATATTCACAGTTTATCAAGAAAAAGGCAAAAGAAAAGCAATAAAGCATGCACTCTAAGGGAAGAAAAGCCAAAAGGCTGACAGCGCAAATGTCAGACCAATGAAAGCAGCTTCAGCTCGATTCCATCCAGGCAATGCCCTTGCTGACGCATTTCACCCCACCCACAGAACTTGGAGGTTAAAGTGGTTGTAAGCCTCAGTCATGAAAAATGAACAAAGCATATCCCTCTATAGTGTGTACCTTTCTCAATTAAAAGCACTAAATGTAATTTCTGTCTGCTGCTTCATTCCTCTATCTCCAGCTATCAGCATGAATTACTTCTAACAAGTTTTCCTGACACTAAGAGAAAAATGGTGACAGGGGAGGGACCTCTAACAGACAGACAACCTCAACTCTGTTCTTGTGAGCTGTGTAGAGGGGGTGTGTCTCTTCCCTCCAATCAGCTCTCAGAGCTCTCCACACTAAGCTCTGCAGTGCATAATGTCAGGTCTCCGCCCCCTTTGTTCTGAACTCTCAGAAAACCTTTATAAATTCTGGACTTTGAACAGCCTGAAAAGCTGTAAAGAAGAGAAGACTGCAGATAAACAGGTACGACCTATGTAGGAGGCAGGAGCGGACTGACCATTTGGAAACTCGGGCACTGCCCGAGGGCCTGGGGTTAGTAGGGGGCCCCGTGAGATGCCCCTGGTACCTTTTTCATAGGCTTTTTTGAGTTTGGGCAAGGACACAGGGGCCCCATGATCCCCTATTGCCCGGGGGCCCCATGAGTTTTCAGTCCGCCCCTGGTAGGAGGATGTGTTTCATCTCTGTGTATCACCTGAAGTCAGTCACTTCACTGGGTATGTATAGGGTTCACAACCACTTTAAAGCTTGTTCTAATTTGTTCCAGTGGAGGAAAAATTATTTCCTGATTCCCCAAGAGGCCATTGGATATTCCCTGGATTATCTACCCCTAGTGGTATTACCTATAAAGGTCGGTTCACACCGGAATGCGCACATTCCCATGCATTCCAGCACAGTTCACTTTTGCAAGCACTTTTTTTAATAGGCTGCAAAATGCATTGGAAAATGGAGAAATTAGTGCAAGCACTACTTTTTCAGATCGCACTGCACCAAACCACATGGTACTACAATGCCCTGCAATTTGATGGTGGCAAAATACGCTGCGTTTGTGAGATGCGTTTGGGGGTACCATTAACAATTCATTGGCACCTGCCCAAAAGCAGTATGTGTGTAAGTAGAAAAAAAAAAACGTTCTCCTAACTGGGTAACATGGCTATATGGGGTGGCCTCTTCCTCAGTGTCCCCACCAAGAACCACGCCCACTGACACGTTTCAACCCTCCCATCAGGGCAGGAGCGGACTGACCATTTGGAAACTCGGGCACTGCCCGAGGGCCCGGGGTCAGTAGGGGGCCCCATGCGATGCCCCTGGTACCTTTTTCATAGGCTTTTTTGAGTTTGGGCAAGGACACAGGAGCCCCATGATCCCCTATTGCCTGGGGGCCCCATGAGTTGTCAGTCCGCCCCTGCATCAGGGCTTAGTCATAGGGTGGGAACCTAGATCAGGATGGGAGTTTTTAATGCTTCCTCACCCGCTGAAACAACTCCAATGTGTGATGTAAACAAAGCAGCTGAGTGTTGTTAGAATGAAAGCACATCATTATATTACAAGAGAAAGAAAGGTGCTGAAAGTAGAAAGACAAAATAAATATGCAAATGACGTCAAGAAAAAGGTGAATATCAAAATAAGGATTAGAAAAACACAAAAGGAAAAAAATTCATTTGAACCCACATAAAGATAACCAAGGGCAGCGGGTTTACCTGTGGTGCGGGAAATGTACATGGAATGCTCCTTTTGGTGTGAAACAACCCTAAGTGGGGATGGGAGAGGAAAAATGAATATTGTTTCCTGAGATTTAATGAGCCTTGTGACATCTCAACACCTCTGATCTTTCCTACACCTACAACTATACTAAAAAAAAAAAAGGAACACTTTGAAAACACATCAGATCTCAACGAGGAAAAATTTCCTGCTGGATATCTATACTGACATGGATGGGGTCATGTGTTAGGAACGTAAGGACGCCCCATCGTTTGATGGAAATGACAATTATCAACCTACAGAGGACTGAATTCAAAGACACCCCGAAAATCCAAGTGAAAAAATAATGCAGCAGGTGAGTCCATTTTGCTGAAATTTTATTGCAGCAACTCAGAATGGTCCTCAGTAGTTTGTATGGCCACCACGTGCTTGTATGCATGCCTGACAACATCGGGGGAGGCTCCTAATGAGACCACAGATTGTGTCCTGGGGGATTTCCTCCCAGATCTGGACCAGGGCATCACTGAGCTCCTGGACGGTCTGAGGTGCAACCTGGTGGCGTCGGATGGACCACATCATGATATTATCATGATCGAATAAGTGTTCTATTGGATTAGATCAGGCAAGCATGAAGGCCATTCAATGGTAACAATTCCTTCATCCTCCAGGAACTGCCTGCTTACTCTTGCCACATGAGGCCGGGCATTGTCATGCACCAGGAGGAACCCACTGCACCAACGCAGGGTCTGAAAATGGGTCTAAGGATTTCATCCCGATACCTAATGGCAGTCAGGGTGCCAATGTCTAGCCAGTAGAGGTCTGTGCGTCCCTCCATGGATATGCCTCCCCAGACCATCACTGACCCACCACCAAAACAGTCATGCTGAACGTTGTTACAGGCAGCATAACGTTCTCCATGACTTCTCCAGACCCTTTCACGTCTGTCACATGTGCTCAGGGTGAACCTGCTCTCATCTGTAGAAAGCACAGGGCACCAGTGGTGGACCTGCCATTCTGGTGTTCAATGGCAAATGCCAATCCAGCTCTATGGTGCTGGGCAGTGAGCACAGGGCCCACTAGAGGACATTGGGCCCTCAGGCCACCCTCATAAAGTCTGTTTCTGATTGTTTAGTCAGAGACATTCAC